TAAGCATTCACTGGCTGGGGAATTCTGGGAGTTGAAGTCCGGACATCTTCAAGTGGCCAAGGTTGAGAAACACTGTTACAGAAGGTTGCAAAGCAGAAAGGGCAGCAAATGCGGTGGATAAGTAGGCAAAGCGATTGGCTCCAACCAAATCCGGGGTTCAGGTAAGGGAAAGTAAAAGAAATATCGGGCATTCAGCCCCGCTGGCTGGGCCCAGGCTGGCTGGCAGCCCCCCCGACCTGGCTTTCTCCCCGCTGGAGGTGCAGAGCTGGAGAAGGGAGAGGCGGGCGCCCCAAAGCTCACCTGGGTAAGACAGATGCACCTGCTCAGGCTGGGGGGGCCGGGCGCCCTGGCCTCGCAGGTGGGGCAGCCACAGGCAGAGGAAGAAGCCCAGCAGCCTCGCCGCTCGGCTCATGCTCCCGCCGGGCTCCTCGCCAGCCGCCGAAGCCCCGCAGCTCCAGGGACGAGCGGGCCAAGGCCGCCCTGCAGCAAGTCACAAGACGCGGTGTTGCAATCCGGCTCCAGTTCCCGGGAAGCGCGGCCGCCCAGCCGCCCAGCGGGCCTCTCCCTGCAGGGGCCGCCCTCGCCCCGCCTCCCCGGACTGGAAGAGCCGAGAGGCCGGCGGCCCAGAGCAGCTCTCCCCCGCAGCCGCTTTCCGGGAGGCGCGCCCGATTTCCCTGCCAAGCCCGGGCGGGCGGGGAGGCGGCAAGGCGGGCGCTGGAGGAGCAGTTGCCGGGCGGGGGGATTCCGGGGCTTGGAGCCCCTCCAGCTGGAAGTTGCGGACTTTGGAAAAGCGTCACGGGAGCGGCGGGCGAAAACAGCGCCGCAGCGTCTCCGGACAGAAGCGGACCGTCCCGGGCTCGCCCTCCCCGTCCAGCAGCCGCTTAGTCGGGGGCGGGGCGGCTGGCCCCATTCGGGGACCTCCGTGCTGGGCCTGCAAAATAGTGGAAACCGGGGCGCGACTGACGTGGCTCCCAGGCGGCTCCCGAGCAGCGAAGCCGTCGCAGGGCGCGGAGAGACCCCGCAGCAGCCACCCCGGAGGCTTCGGGCACAGGGACCCTGAGGGCTTCGGAAAAAAACCCCGCCCACCCGCCGTGGCTGTCATGAAAGGAGACGCCATTGGCCAAACGCTGGACAATCGCCCCGCCCATCGCCCATCAGCGCCTGCAGGAACGCCCGGGAAAGCCCCGACGGGGCAGGAGGGGAAGGGAGTTCTGCACTCGCGCCCCGTCCGGAGCCGCACCCGGAGCCGCAGGCAGGACGACTATGAGCGCCGGGACCGCCAAGACCGGGAAGGCGGGCGAGGAGGCGTCCGAGGCCGGTGGGAGCCACTCCGGGGCGCCCCCGCCGGACGGGCCGCGGCTGCCCAACGAAGTGCTGGCGCTGATCCTGAGC